ACTCACTTGGTAGCCCAGGCTGGCCTCGAACTCACAGAGATCCACCTGGCTCTGCCTCCCGAGTGCTGGGATTAAAGGCGTGCGCCACCACCGCCCGGCCTAACTCATTGTTTTTTAACAATCAAATAATTCTGTCCCTCTCTTGACTAAGTGTGTATCTCGTATCGCCCCTTCCTTGTAGGGGGAGGTAGGACTTTGTTTGGGTGACATGTGCATGCTGGGAGGGAGTAGAACAGGAGAGTCTCTTGGATGACCCATGGTGCCCTGTGATTACTGGTGTGCCATTGCTGTCTCTCTGCATTACCAGTAGTAGTTCTTATGGCAACAAGAGAGACCTGAGCTTGTGTGAATAGTTTTGTGTTGTAAGGTACATACAGTATTTATCAGATGTTTACTCTAGAAGAATGTTGGGAGCTTCAGATTTAGCAAAGATCATACTGACTGTTAGTAATTTAATGACTTATCATGGTCAATTTAAAAAAATTAGCAACATGCCATAAATTTGGCTTCTCTGTTTTTTATAGAAAGAGAAAGCATATTGTTGAAAAACAGAAATAACTTACAAGAGTTACTTATTAGTGGAGGTAATCATACTAACATTGTGATGTATTTTCTTTTGGTCTATTTTTCTTTGCTAATGTTAAGCATATGTTAAAATGAGATCATACCATATATAGAGTTGTATGTACTAGAAAACTTTTATTTTTCATTAAGTTATTTTACCTGTTTATATTCATTGTGCAAAGTTTTGTGTGTGTGTGTGTGTGTGTGTGTGTGTGTGTGAGAGAGAGAGAGAGAGAGAGAGAGAGAGGATCTGCTTATTTCACTTAATAAGATCTTCAATATGTCTATTTTCCTGTAAAGACACAATTTTGTTCTTAACTGTAGCTGAAGAAAATTCTGTTGTTTATCTGTGTCTCTCTCTCTACGTATCTTATCATCTATCTAATCTATCACATTTTCTTATCTTTGCATCTGTTGGTGGACACCTATGCCAATTTGATAACTTGGCTATTGTGAGTTACACTGCAGTAAACACGAATTTGCAGGTCATCTCTCTGGTATGCTGACTTAGATTCCTTTGGATATATTCCCAGAAGTGGTATATCTGGATTGTATGATAGCTCTATTTTTAATCTTTTGAGGAATCTTCACGACTGCACTGGTTTACATTCCCAGCAGTGTATGAGGGTTCTTTCTCCTGCCAAACCCTTGCCTCCTTGCCAGTACTGTTTGTTGTTTGTCTTTCTTAATGGCCACATTCTGATGAGTGAGGTGGAATCTCAGTGTAGTTTCCATTTGACTTTCTCTAAGGACTGAAGATGGTAGTCGTTTTCTCCTGTGTCTGTTGGGCCTTGACACTTCATCTTTTGAGAAATACCCTCTCGCCGGGCGGTGGTGGCGCACGCCTTTAATCCCAGCACTTGGGAGGCAGAGGCAGGCGGATCTTTGTGAGTTTAAGGCCAGCCTGGGCTACCAAGTGAGTTCCAGGAAAGGCGCAAAGCTACACAGAGAAACCCTGTC